CTTCAAGCCTTTAAGACCCCAGTCGTTATAGCTTTTGATAGCTGAGCACCATCCACTTTCTTCACCACATTTGCTTATGCACCCATTTTCTCTTCAGAGATTGTGCCAGGAGGGTGAGCATCACCGAATGCCAGGTTGTTAGAACAAAGTGTTCTTGCATTGAGGGAGGGTATGAACAGAGGCCCTAAGTCTGTCCACTACCTCAGTGTATGGCCATATAAACATATGGACATAGACCAATACCTCTATTTTTATGAATTAATGTATTTACATATGTACCCACCTATGCTTATACCTCTATCCATAGCTTGACTGGCATCATTTTTAATCATGAGGTTTCTTTTCTTTCTAGGTACACATCTAGAATGGAGACCTGGAACATGTTTTGGGGGATCATCTTCCTTGTGGCTAACCTTGGTTTCATCATGACACAGAGACCTGGTAATCCATTAGATTCTTTAAACCCCAAACGATGGCCTTTCCAGGGACCTGAGACAGTAACAATCTCATAATAAAATATACTGTTCTATCATAGTTAACAAAAGGCAAATGATTCTTTTAAGGGGGGATTTGTCAGATTTTGGAAGATTTTTTTGTGAATGGTAGATACATGATTTCGCACCCCTCCCCTAAAGTGTAACCGTAAATCAACCAGGAGCCTGGTTGATACAAGTGATTTGTAATAGGCTGCCAGGCTTAAGGTGTGTGGCCACTCAACAGCTTGACAAAGGAAAGGCTTGGTGGTTTGCTGTGGTGAAAAAGCACAAGCTAGGAAAACCCACAGAACAGTTCTACTCTGTCATGCATGGGGTCAGCAACGAGTCTCAGGTTGACTCGACAGCAGCTAGCAATCGCCATTTGATAAAAAATAGATATGAAAAAATCCTAGCCCAAGTCCAAACCCAAACCAAACATACTGCCATTGAGTAGATTCTTTCTTATAGAGCCCCTGTCTGGTGTTGCTTAGGATGGAAATCTTCCCAGGAGCAGAGAGCCTCGTCTTTCTCCCTCAGAGCAGCAGATGGGTTTGAACCACTGACCTACTTCCTTGGAAGCATCATCAGCATTCTATATCTCTGAATAGTTTACCAAGCTCTGAAAAGCTTTCATAAACATAGGCCTGTCCTGTTGACTCTACATTTTGCTCCATCTACTTGGATAAAGCTTTTAGGAAAGTAATTGTTACCACAAGACAGCTTTGCTGAATGTTAGTGACACTTTTGAAAAAAAAAAAAATTCCCGGAGTGCTTGAGGGATTCTCTTTTCTCTACAGGCTAACATTTTGAAAGCCCAGAGAGAAATAAAGCTTAAAGGGCCTGAGACCCATTGACTGTCTGCTTTTCCCCAGATGATGGCTCCCCTTGGCTTTATGATCCAATAGCAAGAGTGTGTTAGCCTAGGCAGAATAGAGAAACAAAATTCATAAACACTCGTATTTTAAAAGAGAAAGTTTGATATAAAGGGTGATTGTATATTAAGCATCCCAACTCAGTCCAGTTCAAGCCCATAAATCCAACATTAGCCCCTATGTCTGACACTGATCTACAAAGTCCTCCTCAATCTCACAAAACACACGCAATGATGCTGACTGCAGGAGGAAAGCAGAGTCAGTGAGCATGTAAGCATCTCAGCGCTGGCAGGGGTCTCCACGCGGCTGCTCCAGCACCCAGGGCTGCATCAGGGTAGGTCCATGTGGCTTCTCCTCAGGGTTGTCTCGCAGGAAGTGAGGCTTGCCAGCTGAGGCTGAGAACTAGCTAAGGCAGCCACAACTGGTCTGACCATCAGAGAGCAAGAGACAAGAAAGGCGAGGCTCACCAAGCCGTTTATCTCTCCGCCCGTCAATGAATCCCACATGTGTTTATTGGCCAGGTTGGCACCATAAACCTTAGCTATCACAAAGAGTAAGACAATTTCTGAGGGGTGGGAGCCAGGGCTTCAGAAACGACAGATCATTTTAGTATTCCTGAATTTCACTAATTTTCCCCAGGGCCCCCCTTTTGAAAAATCTAAACTCCCACTTCATCTTTCTTTTTCCTCAAAGCTCTCAATCCTTTGCCTCTGTGTCACACGGGCTGGTCATTATGGCAGTAGAGGGCAGGAACTGGATGCCAGGAAAGCTGCATTCAAATTCAGTCTGTTTGAAGTGATCTGCAATCTTTTTTTTTTTTTTAATCCATTCTAGCTCTTAATTCCCTTCCCTGTGGGACCAACACATCAATTCCTTATTCTCTCCCTGTGCTACCCAATACAAGACACCAGTCACACGCGACTCTTTCAACGAAAGGATGCAAAAATGAAAGCAGGGAAATCATTCAGCTTCTCAGTTGTGCTAGGCATGTGCCAACTGCCCAGCCGCCCCTCCTGCCTAGTAACCATCACAACAGAGTGCACCTGTCCATGGAACTATTGTCCACATCTGCTGCTGACTGGTCCTCTTCGTGTCGGAGGGCAAGGGGCTCCCAGCTGGGTCCCCGTTGGCATGGCCACTGTTAGGGCCATTTTTCTAGGGTTAGCGCTGGGTGTGGGGAGAAGTGATCCTGTCCAATACAACCTTGAGGGAGGTCAGAGGGCAAATGCAAGCCATGATTTAGGTCATCTTAAACATCAAATTAAAAGGGGCTAGTGCTGTCCGGCCAGGAAGTGCCCGAGGTCAAAGTCAATTTTCCTAGAAGTAGAACCTGGGACAGGGATTCAGGGGCACGTGCTACTTTGAAAGCATGTTCTTTAGGACGATCCTACAAGGGGGTGAGGGAAGTGAAATAGAGCAGGGGAAGACGTTGAACAAGGACGTGGCCTCCAGATGAGGCCACTGCCTTTGGCCAAGGCCAGAGCTCTGCAGAAAGCCACAGATGTGGATGATTAGTGGAAGCCCTTGAAACAACTGGAGGAAGGCATTCCAACTGGGTCAGGGGGCCTAGGTTTTGGTTACCCACAACACCCACCACTAGAAAGCTGATTTCTTTAGGTTCAAGTAATGAGTGAAGGGCCAGGGTCAGGGACCTCACTGAAAAGACACATGTATGCTGGCATGGCACAAAGGGCGACAGGTGAGCAGGGCAGATGCTGGGCAAAGGAGGCAAAGGAAGAGGCCGGTGAGCTTGGATAGAATTCCAGTTGGCGACCATTAGGGAGCTCTGTGGTTGGATCTGGGGGATCTGAAAGCGCTGCTCTGGGAGAGAGGAGTCCCGGCAGAATAGTGTCAAGTCTTTAACATTTTCCCTTAAAGTGATTCTCTTCTCCAGTCTGCAGGGAGGCCACGGTGGGAGATATCGTGTTTCTGGTGGACGCCAACATCAACCCCCAACAGGCCCGCAGCGTGCGGAACTTCTTGTCCACCGTGGTGAATGGCTTCCATGTTGGTAGAGAGACCATCCGTGTGGGTCTGGCTCAGTACAGCAACACACCCAGCTCAGAGTTCCTGTTTACCACCTACCACCGCAAAACTGATGTCTTGAGGCACATTAAGAGGTTTCCATTTAAGCCCGGGGGCAGGAAGACAGGCCTGGCGCTGCGTTTCATCCTAGATCACCACTTCCAGGAAGCAGCAAGCAGCCGGGCGAGCCGTGGGGGGCCTCAGATGGCCATCGTGCTCAGCAACGGGCCAGCTGAGGACCAGGTCCGTGAACACGCAGAGGCCCTGAGGAGGACAGGCGTCCTGCTTTATGCTGTCGGCATCAGAAATGCCGTTTGGGCAGAGCTCAGGGAGATGGCAAGTCGTCCCGAGGAGAAGTTTGCGGCTTTGGTTCCTAACTTCCCCGGCCTGGGAAGTCTTGGCCAGAAGCTGCGGCAGGAGATCTGTGAGACTTTGACAAAAGCAGCTCAACGTGTGGACCACGTCTCACCAGGTACAAGCGCTTTCCCTTTCTATTTCTGATCCAGAAGACACAGCGCTCAAAGCTTTAGCTGCCTAATTCATTTCTCTCACATCTCTTATTTTCCACTCTCACTGGAGTGGGGATACAACTCAGTGGGGGGGG